GTTGTTGGATTAGTATGTTCCCATCTATAGAATGAGACATTATCAAGAAGAAATTGTCGGATTAGTGTAATCAGTAATTTTTTTGTGCAGGTTTGGATTTATATTGAAAATTATCAATCGTAAACAAATTTTATTATTATTATTGTAAATTTATTGATATGTATATATTACAGATAAAGAAATTTATAATATATACATATATATCTATATATTAAATGAATTCTTTATGTATACATGTATCTATTTATTTACACCTTTTTTATCATGTTTCCCTCGCTTACACAGCAATTTAAGACTTTCAATATTCAAACTGAGCATTTCCAATAAAAATTGTACTTGAAATTTTATACCTGAACTAATGATATTATTTTTCTTGATTGATTCTTGCAAATTGTTGATTTTGTTGACCACTGTGTTATTAATCACTAATTCATATTCTTCATCATCTAATCCACAAATCATCATTATTGAATCATCACCGCTATTCCTTCTAGTATTACGGTTATTATTAATGCAATTATTAACTCGTATGATTTTTGAAGAAATGTAACTTTGAAGGATCCAATATAGCATATAATAATGTCTCCATGCTAAATCAGACATAATATCACCTTTTTTGGTTTTTTTAAATGGAATTGAATCAAAATAAACATTAATTATTTTTGATAAACTTAATTGTGATTTTATCAAGTGTCGATAATTACGACCAGCTGAGTTAATATCTGCATTGGATAATGCTAAATCAAGCAACTTTGCTTTAAAGGTGTTTGATATTAAAGTCTATAAATAAAAATCAAGATTATTTATTAATAAAGCATAAATAAATAAATGAATAAATAAATAAATAAATAGAATATATACACATCTACACCAAACTCACTTGAAGAAATAATTGGAATTTTGATGAATCAAGATGCTTGGATTTCAAGTATATCTCAGTTGTCAAAGTTTTAGAGCAAATATGTTCAGAGTATGAAAGAATTATCATCTAAAATTATTAATCAAAAGTCTTTTTATTTTTAATATTCAATTCTAAATAAAATTAATTCTGTTAATTTAAATTATAAGCAAAAGCAGACTTTACCAAATCTAATAATCTTTGGATCATGTTTACAAAATCTTTAGATATTTCATCTTTGTCAAATATTGAAATTAATATATCAACAGGAGTTTTAATGTTTGTTGTACGTTGTTGGGCTCCATAATTGTTTGGAATAAGTTGTAAAAATATTGTTGAAGATAAATTTTCTAAATAAAAAATTGATAGATGTATATTTTAACAATTATATAGTGATTTAAAGAGGACAGGTATTTATATATTTCAATTGTTTTTTACCTTGTTTTAATTTTATATCAACTTCTAACACACTTACTATATGTTCAAACAACAAGAGTTTTCTCTAAATTATATACATGTGTTCAATCAATAAATATGTACTAAAAAAATCAACTGAATGATAATTATTGACTTACTTGAGATTTATCATCATCCATTAGATGAGGTTGGAACATCGTTTTTTTGAAGAAATTCCAAAAATCTTTATATTCTTTCCAAATGTCATCTATTTCATTTATTTGACTATCAAAATCACTTGAAGAAGGAGATGACGACCAAATATTCTCAAAAGGTAAAGAACCCTCTTGTTGTAAAATTTGATTTAAAATTTTATGTGCTTTCAGAGCCATTCTATAATTAACCTTTTGATCATTAACCACCAAATCCATCAATTGACGAATATGTTTTCTACAAAAAAAATGTGATTTGAAAATAAAGAATATAATTAATTAATTTATATTTATCCACAATGAATTATTTTTAATAATTCAAAAATCCAAAGAAAAAATTATTTAATACATACTCTGAAGGATTGTATGATTGATTATAAAAAGATCCAATCAAATCAATTGCTCCACTATCTAAATTTGAAATTATTGTTATTAATAGTATTTTCAAAAGAAAAAAAATTTGGTAAATTAATAATTACAATGATTTTCTTGAAGACAATTATCAATCATGTTTTGACAGGTATTTGGCATTAATAATGATTTTTTTTTAGTTTTATTATTGGGATTGGTAGTTATTGAATTCAATTTTTCATAAATTTCAATTATTTCTGGTTTCGTAATAAGAACTTTTTCAGCCTTTTCCCAAATGCCATCATTATGTAAATTAACAATTTCGCCATTGTTTTCATCACTATTTTCTTTATTTCTCAATTTAGAAGGAGTAGATAACATGTAAGATAAACCATCCTAAATACAAATTAAAAAAAACCATACACGGGCAGGTAAACTATTTAAAAGATTTTTTAATGAAATTTGCTTTTTAAAAGAAAAGTAATAAATAATATAAACCTTTGATGTTTGATATTTTTTAATAAATTTCATTTTTTTTTCCAAGTTTAAGTAAAAAAAACTAAGGGTAAAACGCGAATACAGAATTTCATTTTATGATGTGTACAGTGCAGGACATCTATAATGGTCAATAGTCCGAAACTTAAAATTTTAGAAGATCTTTCTAATTTAAGTAATCATATTCCTTTTATTGGAAAGATTGTCTGTATCACGGAAAATTTTTAAGCCGATCATCAACCTTTTAGGAAACCACAAGGGAATATCATTCCGAAATTTTACAATTTACATATAGACATATATAAAATGTTCTAACTTTCAAGCCTTATAACTCAAAACTTTTCTAATAAAATGAAAAAGTAAACCGATGGAAATGAAGCTTAGGTCTTTAGCTTTAATTTTATCGGTTTATTTTTTTTTTTTATTTTTTTAATAAGGAGTTATAAGCTTTTAAAATCATGTGATAATCATTGACCGTTATAGATGTCCTGCACTATACCCAATATTCAAAATCACTGGCGAAAATGGTTAAAGTAACAATTAACCAAACTTGATCTTGTGCAACTCGATTTTTACCTTTTTTTATAGTGCAGGACATCTATAACAGTCAATGATTATCACACACTTTAAGAGCTTATAGCCCTTATTAAAAAAGAAAAGAAAAAGAAAAAGAAAAAGAAAAAAGTAAACCGACAGAATTAAAGCTAAAGACCTAAGCTTCATTTTCATCAGTTCACTTTTTTCATTTTATTAAAAAATTTTTGAGTTATAAGACTTCAAAGTTAGGCCATTTTATATATGTCTATATGTAAGTTGGGGCATATAATTTATTTTTTATTTTTTTTTAACGATGTAGTTGTATTATTATGTTTATTAACTTTATATTATCAATTGCATTTATAAAATAACAGATAAAAAAAACATAAACAAATAATTACCCCTAAAAGTTGTTATCTCATAGGCATAAAACAAATAAAGCTACTACTACTATTTGCAATGTAAAAATAGATTACGAAAAATTAATCTCTATTACTATCAATGAGCTAAACTGAACCGAACCGAGTGCCCCATCCCTACTACTACTGAAATCCTTGGTTCACTTTGTCTGGTTTTGTTGCAAGCATGCCCCAAATAATTGCATAAACTATGTTACACGGGAGATAAATAATTATAGCCTGTTGATCTCTATCAAATTCAAAATTTAAACATTGGTATTAGTATAATTTTGTAACAAGTCCCAAATTTCTGAATTGACAAGAAAAAAAAAATTTTTTTTTATATGGGAAGATGGAGTTCCTTTTTATTGTTTTTTAATTAGTAAATTTGCGTCAAACTTTATTATGTGGATCCTAAACTCTTTTTTATTTATGGAGGAAGGAGGACACTTCCATTGGATAGATAAGTCCTTCTAAATATGATATTCAGGGTCCTAATTATTTATTTATAGTTACGCGTGTTATTTAGAATGTATGGTGATAAAGTCGACTAAGACGACCAAGTTGACAAAATACAATGGTAGATATGGTCTCCAACTTTCTTTAAAAAATATTCTAGTTAATATTACTGCTATAAATTTTATTAGCTGTTTTTATTTTCTTTCTTCGAAACAAATCAAAAACAAAATATTTACATTACTATATCAACATACTCGAAAAAAAAACGACATACAATCAAAAAAATTGTTACGCGATCGATTATTATTATTCATTTTAGGAAATATAATTAATTTTATTATAGATTACTACTACTTGTGTTTAATGTTTTGCTCTTAATAT